ATGCAAACAAAGCAATAATGGAGTTGATGCCATCTGACATTGAATCAAATCATGATGATCATTGATCACTAGATGTGGATCCATAGTTGAAACTTGTCCACCACCAAATACACCATCTTGTTTCCTTAGTGCGTTTCCACTAGTTGCTCAAGCCAGGGCAGGACAGGCCCAAGCCTAGGCTGCGCGTTCCAGCAAGCCAAACTTGCCCGGACAAGAGGCGGGTCCTAAGAAACCGGGCTAGTTTGTAGGCAAAACGAGCCAAAGGTCAGGACTATTACTATTTATGTGAATAGTGCCGGCAATTGCAAAAGTTTGTGGTATTTCCACTTTGTTTCCTTCTTTTTGGCCGAAGCAGCCGACATAATGAACTTTTGGTCCTTCTTCTTTTGAGTGAGGAGCTTGCCACCACTAAACCCCGAATTTGGGCTTCAATGGAATGTGAGTATATGGATATGTTGCGTCCGAGATCTGACTTTAATCAAACGATTGATCGGCCGAGCAAGGAACCTCTTCACGACCTAGGTTCTTTCACTACCTCGGGGTCAAGGCTTTATGTGAGCTACCAAATGATGTGGAGTGGGTGGAGATGAAGATTGAAGGTGAAACGTAATGAAACGAAGAACAAGTGCGAAAAGTAAAGATGTTTAAACTTAAATGTAATTTAAAGACAAATGCGTAAAGTAAAGTGCGAAAAATAAATAACGTAAAGACAAGAATTAAAGTGCGATAAAATGAATCAAAACGATAAATAAAGCAAGAACGAAATGAAAGCGATAAGAACGATAAATTAAAATGAACTTGAAATTAAACTTAATTGAAGTGCGATAACAATGAAAAGTAAAGCAATTGAAATAAACTTGAATTTAAATGACAAGAAAATATAAATTGAACGAGAATTTAAACTTACACTAAGAAAAGAAAGAACTCACTACACTAGGTGCATGAAAAGTAAAATCATAAGTCTATGAAAAGAAAAGTTCGAGATGAAAGATAAGTTTCTCTGTCTAATGTTGTGTGTCTTCTGTCTTCGTTTGGTGAAGTTTATATAGGGCATTCGTCAGCCCATGGACTGGCCATTGAATGGCCAAATGTCAACTCTTTTAAAACTCTTTCCTTTTGAAGCCCCTTGAATTCGTGGGATCACATTGGTGGAAATATTATGATTGCTTGATTCTCTCATGTTTTGGAGTATGCTGAACTATCATCAATCTCCTTGATTTGTTTCTTTGTGAGGCCTCCATCACATGCACATTGACCTCCGGAAATCTTGGGCGTGAATTTGTGGCTTAGGTCTTGACCTTCGAGATTTCATCTTGACATCTGATGGAACCTTGTGCCCCTTGAATTTTTAGAATTATAGAATTGGCTTACCATCCGACAAGATGGGTGGTATGGGAACTCCAAATATTTGGATGTTGGGCTTGGCCATACGTTGGACTATATTTGAGTTCTCAAATATTTGAATATTGGGAACTCGGCGGACATACCTCCTACCGAACTTCAACTCTCTTGGCCCGACTTTGCTTGCCTAAGTGTTGAGAGGAGAGCGCCAAGGTGCGCAAGGAGAAAATTCACCCTGGCCCAGTTTTTTGTAAGATGAGTGGCCGACCAGGTATTTAAGGAGTGTTCGGCCCAACTTTTTGAGAAGGAAGCATTCGACCACTTTTGCAAGGATACGCCTGGCTACTTTTGCAAGGATACGCTCGACTACTTTTGCAAAGGGAAACGTCCGACCATATTTTTGAGAAGGCACCACGAACTTTGAAGAAAACACATCGGCCGCATTTTTGAAAAGACACCATGGCCTTTGAAGAAAAGACCTCGGCCACCTTTTTTGATAAATCACTTCGGCCCCTAGGAATTCCGCCGCTAGGAATTATTGGCCCCTAGGAATTCTTCGGTTGCTAGGAATTCTCAGCCGAGGAATTCTCGCCCGCTGAGAATTTTCGGCCGCTAGGAATTCTCGGCCGCTAGGAATTCTTCGACCGCTAGAAATTTTCGGCAGCTAGTAATTCTTCGGCCGCTAGGAAATCTTCTGTCGCTAAGAATTCTCAGCTGAGGAATTCTCGGCCGCTAAGAATTCTCCCCCGCTAGGAATTCTCGATCTCTAGAAATTCTTCGGCCGCTAGGAATTCTCGCACGCTAAGAATTTTTCCTTAGCAAATTGGGTGAATTTTGACCACTCCCAAACACACCTATTGCCATGGCAATCACTATTCACATAAGATATAAAGAGAGAAATTTGTATAGAGTTTTGGTGTGGAAAGTGAAGAATATGACTAAGTATTTATTTTTTAAAATTTCTGACATTTTTAGTTTTTTTTATAGATTTTTTAAATTTTTTGTTGTCACTAACGTCATTGTTTACGTCAGCAAACTCAGGCTAGAGGTCAAGTTGGTTTGGCCTACGAGCTGACTCGGTTGTGTGGGTCCCATAGCTTGCCCTCGCAAGCGTGGCCCCCTAGAAGCACTTCCTTGGGCTTGGGCCCTGTCCTGTCAGAGCTACTGTCAATGAGTGAAAACGCTCTTAGAAGCTTGTTAGTTTTCCTTTTAAATTAAATATCACCACCACTTAAACTTTTCTTTAGATCTTCAAAAAGCTTTTGTCATGAAAATATGGATTTAATTAGCCAACTTTTTGAGTTTGAAGGAAATTAGCAGGCACTAACTCCAATTAAGTCGATGGATTATGTAGCTACCAATCTATCTTGTAACTAAGACAGTAGTTGTTGACTGCCACAAACTTGCAGGTCACAAACCAAGTCAACTGCTTCAAATAGTGTTGTGTCGTTATTTTCCTTTTCAACTAAAATTGTATGTTGTATTTTATGCATGCATTCCTACATTACCCATCCTTAGTAATATATTTTCATAAAGAAAAAAACGATGAAGGGTTGTAGATGTTTTGTATCATCAATTGTAGAAGATTATACATGCAATTCTTTCGTACGTATTTTGTGACGTATGAATTGGTTTATTGGAGAGAAAAGAAAGCGCACATAAAGATTAATTGGTAACGATGATAAACGTGGTCCTCAATTACACATTCTTCATCAACTTACAATTTTTTTATTATGTGCAAACTGTGTAATCGGCATTTTGAGTTAACTCAAAGAGAGAAAGAGAGACATAAATTATTTGGTTTTATTAACATTTTAAGGGTGAGCATCAAACCTGCTAAATTATTTAAAGCTTTGTTGTCAAACTTAATTACTTTTTGTTCAAATTTTGCCATTTCGTACCAATGGACTTCTGTCGCGTGTTAAAGAAAAAAAAAGAAAAAAAAACCCCACTCCAAATCGGACAGATCAATTCGACTCGCCCTTTTTGTGGTTTTGTTCTTGTTTTTTGCAATTTGAATGCCCAATCCTAGTGCAAATGTAATATGGAATCCATTTTATGTATGCAAAAAAACAATAAACCGATTCACAGTTTAGTTTGTTAGTTTCTCTCGTTTGTTTAATAATATGCGATTTCAACGTTGAAGAATTACTACCTAATGTTTAGTAGTTAGAAACTCAGCATGCGAATGTTAAGTTTTTTTTATTTAAAAGGCAACCTAAGTGCGTGAGAAGATGGTTAGAAGGCAACTTAAGTGTTTATTAATTCAAATGGGGATGAAACGTGTAAAAAGTTTCAACGGTTGAAATCAGTCGTAAACTTTGATGTGCTACTTTAGACAAATGATAATGCACATTCAAATTAAATATTTTATCCTAATTACTTAAACAAATAATTAACTGAGGAAAAAATTTCTTAATTTCTCTTTAAATGGTGTATTTATTTATGTTTATTTGGAAATTATGATTCCAGAGTATGGCTTTGAAAAGAAAGTTGATAGAGGAGGCTTTGTGGTGATAATGGCGATGTTAATGATTGCCACTGTGCTTACTTTTTCACCAAAGATCCTCTTTATTTCTCTCCACATCCTTCCAAGTTCTCTGTTCACCAGTTAGGCATATCCCAAAAGTCACTTTATTTATTTATTATACTATACTCTCCGCAAGCGCGGAAGTACATGCGAAGAGACTAGCGTGTGTATATATATAAAGTGATAGAATTTTATTCTTGTAAAAGTTACTTGACTATGTTGAGAGCACCCCGACATGGAATAACAGAACTTTATTGATTAAAAAAAATGATTATAAATAGTCATTCTTGTGCCCCATGAGCCAAGCATCGGCATATGATATTTTCAATGAAAACATATTACAACAACCATAAGCAAAATGCAGAATCAAAAGTCACTTTAACGTTTTTTGTTTGTTTGAATAACTCTTTAAAAAAAGCCACTTGACTCTAATGTATTATAATTAATTCTTACGATGTCTCAAAAGATTAGGGAACTTGACCATATCATCTTCCTTTTATATAATCTGCCCCAAACTAACTTAATGCTTTAACCAAACAATAATCTTACAGGCACCAAACAATACTTCTTTTCCAATTGCAATTTTATCCTAATTAATTAAGAATGAACTAGTTAAAGGACACTGTTTGACACATATGTACAAATAATTCATCAAAAATACAAAGAGAAAAATTTATGCACACATATCAAACTGTGATTGGCAGAAAAGTGATGGTTCGTACTTTCAAAGGAAGAATTTTCTTTAAATAAAAACAAACATTTTATTTTCCCTATAAGTGATGTTTGTTAGATGGATATAATGAATTAAAGAGTGGAGACATGGAACATATTGCTTGGGGGAGACTTAAGATAATAATGATGATGACAATGACTGTCCTTGCAATGATTTCATGAGTGTTAGTGGTTGTGGAAACTAATCAAGATTATCCCTACAACAGTTATAAAAGATGGTGGTAAAATTCTCCATCATATGGAGGAAATAGTTAGGTCAAGTTCCAGTGCAAAAACCAAAGTTGAATTTGGAAAAGCTCCAAAATCTTCTTCAGATATTTCAGCTAGAGAAATTCAACGTTCAACAATATCATCAGGAGTAGATATTCCGCATGACTCTGGAAAGAGAGAGAATAAGATGTCAAACGATTCAAAGCTTCTTGTAAATGCAACGTACGGCCTGTGCCTGGTAGAGGGACATAACCTACAACCTATGGAAGACAATGCTGTTGCAGAGATTAGGAAGATGGGTGATTATGAAATAGGACTATTTGCTCTATAGATGGCTATGAGAGTCATTCAATTCCTCACCACTTGAAGTCTAATTTATTTAACAATATCATTACACATCCTGCTTTCTTGTTAGACACGGAAACTGCAGTGAGAGAAGGATACCGTATCACTGAAACTAGACTTATGGAGAAATCAAACGAATTTGGTTTCAGTGGGAAATCATCTTCAACTGCAGTTACGGAAATATTAATGAACTGCAAAGGTCAATCCTCTAAACCGATGGTAGCCAATGTTGGGGATTCCAGGGCTGTTATTTGTTGCAAGAATGGTATGGCTAAACAATTGTCCATTGATCATAACCCAACCAACAAAACGGAAAGAAAAGAAATTAAGAAGAGAGGTGGATTCATAGCAAAACTTCCAGCGGGTTATGTTCCACGTGTTAATGCGCTTGTACCGCTAACGAGAGCGTTTGGTGTTAAGTTCTTGAAGAAATATATAAGTTGTGAACCTAATATGGTGGTGGAAGCGCCACCCTTACCAATAGCTACTGTGTCGGGATAATAAGGACATTGCCTTCCAAAAAAAACCCTTGAAATCTTTCGTATATAATCTTTAGTTGACTACAATTCCTAGTTTCACCTGCAGATAGCCCTTCATGTACACAAAAAATATCCAACGAAAAAAATTTCAGAAAAATCATGTACATAAGACGTCTAGCAGAACCACCCCCCTCCCCACTCTTCATTTTGCATAACAAAATTCAAAGGCAGGCCAGGAATGAATAAATGCCTAAAACTACAAGCCTAACATTGTTTTTCTCTTCACTTGTTCTCTCAAATCTTCTTCAGATGGAAGCTTGCCATAGCCCTTTGAGGTCGCAGACCACCATGCCTTCAGCTCATCCTGCAACATATGATGGGGGTGTAACCAGCAAGAAAACAGAACAAAGGTGATAAGAAAATTTTAAACATCTTCACATGCATTTGCTAGGGCGAATACAGATCCTGTTATGACAGAACCCTTGTTAAAGTGACAGGATCACATAGAGCATGAACTCATGTAATTTGGCATACAATTTAAAAGAATTAAAGCTAGCATACAACCAAACCCAATTGGCAACAAGGCTTAACATTCCTAATATGGAATACCCTCAACACACCCTCTCATATGTGGCGCCACAAAAGCCAAACACATGACAGACTAGGTGACGTGGAATCCGTATGACTATTGGCCTGACATGTAGATTGCCTCCTCTAATAACCTAAGAGAATTACAGCGTCAAACTGAAAACCAATCGGCAATGACAATGCAAGACTTAATATGGGCTAAACCGCCAACCCAGAATACCACATGCCAAGAAGACAATGGGCTTACATAGTCAACATCAACGAAACGTAAGCATGTTTACAAGTTACAACCAATGAAGCCCAAAAAATTGGAGGAATCTAATTGATCAAACTAATAGTTGGAATGCATAGAGGGCCATACACTGCAAGTTGAATCAAGTGGTTAGTAACTGAGATTATAATTACCTCAAGGAAATCCTGGTTTGACACATATTGGCTCTTGACCAAACATTTGATTCCCCCAACAACAACAGCTATAGAGTCCACATTCTGTGGACAAGTCTCTCTCTGAGAACCTGTGCGTTAAGAGAAAGAAAAACGAACAATGAAAACAGAGAAAAAACCTTAGCCTAGTTATCAAATCTTCTTCCTGGTTTAATAAATATATTCAAATCTTCTTCTTTGTCTATGGATTATCTATAAAGTTGGTTGAGAAGCAAAAATTAAATTCTAGTTATACCAGTTATGCAAGACACATAGTATCCAGTTCCCCCAAGTCCTTCTTCCCACTTCCCAAGCCGCAGGCGCAGGAAAAACCCCTCAAGTTGTGAGAGTGACGTATGGGAATTCATCCATCTGATTCCAGAAAATACAAATTACACATTAGAACAAGATTAAATACTCAAGAAAAAGAAGCTATTCAAGCTTTAACTTAGATAAAAGACTCAAGGAAAAAGCTGCATAAGTGTTCCTTTTAGTTGTGCTGAGTTCTATTTATTTACTCTTGGTCAGATTTTTCTAAGGTTCACAACAATATCTACTGGAGTCAGTAGAATCAAGTCTTATTAATTAGGTAATTCAGCCACTTGTAAGTGAATACAGGGAGCCACCCAATTTCTTCACATGCTAAGTTTCAAAGAACATGCCATCAGAATCCAATGGTTTATTGACTAATTCACCTCATCTTATAAGTTCTTTAAAGTGTTGCTTGGTAGAATTGTAATTCACTTTCAATATTCTTACAACTAGAATCCAAAATTTCTACTTTGTATTTACCCAAAAAATAAAACTTCTATCCTCTTGTCGGTTTCCTTCAAAGATTTTACATCTACACAAGATAGAAGAAGCCTTGTCCAGTCAACTGATCAAAAACTCTATTGAGGATCTGCTTGTCTAAAACGTGCCTGTTGTTAAATTTCTATGACCAAAAATTTTGAGAGCACAATTATCTTAGGGTGAATAAATTTCATAACCCGAAGGCCCCAAAATAATCCATATATTTTTTCAAAACCTTAAGAGGTGCATACGCCAATTACCAGAGCTCATACGAAGTGTGATTCAAAAAACTACATTATATATGCAAGAAAAAATCCTCTAAAAATATTTGACAAGAAAATATAATTTACTATTGAGGGGCCAGTTTGTATGCTCTACTTACTTCACGACATCTGTGCGAGACAAGCGAAGCCTTCTTACAGAGTCAAAGATTACTTTCGGTACATCTGAAATCTGTGCATTGACAAACTTTGCCAAGGGCATTAACTTATTTTCCCCAGGGCTTGAAGAACTATATTCCTTAATTGAATTTGGATGAGATCTCATTTTCTTCGAGACTATCATCTTATTCGTCTTCCAGCTCAAATTAAGATCTGCCTCTATTCTTGAATCATCCTCATCAAATAATGTATGAGCAACAGAAGCTTGAAATTCACTCTCCTTACCAGTTAGGAGCTTCATGTCATTTCTTGAATTGGGCTTCGTTTCACTCTGACTGCAGTAATAATCTAAACAAGAAACATTACAATCCAATTGAGATTCTCCCATTGAGGGCGCATTAGGACATGCCACGGCCCAATGACTGCATTGAGAACATCTAATGCAGAACGAAGGCAAATGTTCAGCTCCAATATAGGACTTGCATTTACTGAGTAATTCCTGAAGTTCAGTGTCTTTTATCTCTGAACACTCTCGTAAATGGTGACCTTTTCTGCCACAAAAGAAACAGGTCATGTTTCCATAGGCGGCATTACCTGTTGCACCAGATGGGGTGATGTGCTTAAGAGCATCCAATCTCCTAGCAAAAGATGAAGCCATTGCTTCCGAACCTCTGAATTTAGGGGAAGGAAAGATAGGGTTGAATTTGGACACGGACTTTTGATCATTCTGGCCTTTATTATTGAAAGCAGATGAGCCCTCATTGTCAGCCGCACAATTCTGTGGATCATTACCAATGACAATAACTAAATCTTCAGCAGACTGCTCCTTGTTCCCCACATTTTTGTGGTCATCGGAGCACTCAAGAACTCCATCAGTACCCTGTATGTAACGATTTAAGATTGATGATGGAGCAGGTGTTTTTTGAGTAAATCGAGTTATCCACAAGCTTTCCAGAAGGGCACTTCTACGACCAAATTTATCAGTTGTCTTCCCTTCAGATTGTGGGCTAGATTCAACATCCTCTACACTCTTTTTCTTGCGTTTACCCAGAGAAGAGTTAGAGCTAGCTCTGTCTTTCTTTTTATGAAACCAAAAGTTGCATGGATTCTTTTCCTCTGCAGAGTTAGTGTTGCCTTTCTCCTGAATACCTGCTGCTTTTTCAGATGAACTCTTAGATCGGGCTGCTGAACGTACTTCATTTCCAGATGAAGATTTTTTGAACTTCCCAACTGAAAGCAAAACTCCGCTTAAATTAATTTTCTCCCCGTGAAAGGCTTTTGGAGTGGTATTTGACTCAAGTTCTGCTGATATTTCTCCTATTTGATGATTGTCATTCAACATCCTTGCTTCTTGCTGCTCTGCCTTTGGGCAATACAAGGACTGAAAAATTGAGTGGAAACCGATATTTTTTAATCCAGCATTTTGGTTCTTGTTGCATGTGATAAGCTTCTTATCAGAATGCGCATGTCCATGATCAGGATGTGCAAGTGTAAGAGCAAGAGAAGGTGCCTCATCTTGCATTGATTTTGAAAACCCCTTCACCATGCTGGACATCCAATTCATGAAGGAGCTATCTTGTCTAATATAGGATATGCAAGTCGGCGTTTCTTGAATTTGCTTTCTGAATCTTTTACTCCCAACAATGAACTCGTCTTCAAAGTTCCATCTCTTCTTTCCTAATGAAAACAACGCTGCACTATTACAGCTCTCAACACTCTCATGGCTATCATCCTCATCTTCTGACATTCTTCCATTAAGATCTCCATCAGATAACGCTTTTTCTTTGCCTTTCCTTCGATATTTTTGGATTTTACTGTTAGTTGGAGTCTCTTTAACCAGAACAGATTTGTTTCCAGGAAGCATTTCCACATCCTGCTCAAACCTGTCTTTAACCCCTGGGGAAGATTCTAATCCTAAAATCTGACTCTCTGCACCATAAGCATGTTCACTTTTGAGATTTTGTAAATCATTCTCAGCAGTTACCTCCATTTTTTCCAAAGGCCTTCTGCCCTGGGGCCTTTGATTCTCCACTGGAGCACCCGAAGCTTTACTTTCATTCACTGGGTGAACTTCAGAGGTCGAAACAAGATCCATTTCCATTTTCTGATTGCCAACATCAGCATGTCTGTCTCCACCAACAGGATCCCCCAATAATGGTTCATTTTGTTCCCCAAAAGGTAGTATTTGATCTGATTCAATTAACAAGATATCAGCCCCTTCTCTGTCAACATTACCTGGAGGAGTATAATCAAATCAATAACATGTTATATGTAAAACACATAAAAAGTCTGTGTTTCAGGCAAGGCAACATAGACTGAAAGAACGGCTCAGGATCTGATTTTTTCCCCGAGCCCCTAGTGAAAGTAACCAATTTTAAAGCAATTTGAACATTAGCTGCTGGAGCTTTCTAAATTCATCTACCGAATTTACTTTGCCATACTGAAAATGAGAATAGCAGGACGCACCTGACAATGTTGGAAAATCTTTTTCTCTGGTCTCAGGTATTTCATCTACTTGGAAATTGACTGGAGTGCAAATTCCCCCCTGATTATATGGAACAGATACTTCCACTGCTGCTTTAACGTCCTCCACATTACCACCAGTTCCTGCAAGGAGGAGTTCCTCAATAATTCTGGCAACAATTTCCCAGGAAATAAAGAAACAAACAAGAAACATAAGAAAATCCTACTACAAATTTATCATTCTACAACTCAACAAATCTTCTTATGCTTAAGAAAGTGAACTCAACAAACCTTCTTATGCTTAAGAAAGTTAGGCCTACTGAACTCCCGAATACATAGGACTTAATATGCCTAACAGAACTATCCTTACCCGTCT